TAAAATTTCAAGAACTCCGACTGAACTCTAAGAGTTACTAATCTCCTTCAAAAATTTTTTGTCTTCAAAGAGAACTGTACAATAGTCTATATAGAAGTACACTCATACAAAATAAGAAAGTATTTGAAAAACGATATAATCATATAAAGTATACGATGCGTATCTTTTTATCCTAGGGCAGGATTTTTTCTATACAAACTATTAGTTTCTTATTGAGCATATTTTAGAAATTGTTTGAATCGTTGTAGGAAGTGTTTGATTACTGACGTTATTTCGACTATACGCTAGTACCTAGATTGTTGTAGATCGATAATGTTTTTTTTTTTACATTTTTTTTTCCCACTATGATTGTGCTCTTTAGAGGAAGACTTCACGAAAACATCGATAAAACGAACGTCCAAAGTTGATTAAAGAGCGCTTTCGTAGAATTGTGAACTTTTTGATTATGTCAAGTACAGTCGTTTTGGCATGCTATACTACGATATTAGTATGCGGCGACATATTTCGAAAGTGTATACCTGTAATCCCAGATATCCGCGTATAGTGTAAATAGTCACAATGCCCCAATTGTAATTTCTACCGTGAATATTCTTACTCGTCTTGTTTGGAATTCCTAGGAACTTCAAGTTTTTCGCTCTTTTTCCCAAACATTATTACATTCAAGCCTCCTGCAGAAAGAAAAACGTGATATAATTATTACACATTAGCGCCACAGAAATGCGTACATGCTTCTAATCGCAAATCTATTGTTCTTTCGTGAATTATTTTTAGAACAACATGTCCTGCGGATTTAATCTAAAAACTATTTTACATATTGTAATACTTACTTCAGGGAACAGAAAGTGCTCGCGAGTTGGTTGTGGCTGCTCGAAAGGTGAGCTACTCATGTAACCAGGTGACGGCGACTCGCTCTTTTCCAGCACTGGAGTGATATTTGCATAATTAGCGGACGCCGTTGTGAGAATCCGTCCCTGCTCTACCAAGATGCTTCGATCAATCTTGTAATATTCCTTCCCACTGCGAGGTCGAAGGGTCGTTGCTACAGCTCTGCCTCCTAATCTGTACGCGGCATACATTTTTCTATTGATTACATTAGTAAAAAAACTGATCTATTAGGAATAATTAATTATGCAAAATATTATAATCCAGACGAAATCACATTCACAAATGTCATAATACTAAGGAATATTGCGTATAAATTTATAAGATATTCTACGCGATTTTGTTGCAGATAAATTAACAATGAAGGAAAAAATGCAACAGAGTTCTGAAAGTGCAAAATTTTACCTGAGACTGTCGGGCGTATCTGACGAAGAGTGCGACGACAACGATAAAGTTTCGATGTAATCTGACATGTCAGAAGTGCCGCTGCTGGTGCTTCGTGAATCGATGTAGGGTGTATTTGAGACTTCACCAGGGCTGTTAAAGCCCTTCGTGGTCTTTGGCAAACAGGTAGGTATGTCGGCCTCAGCGGACGAAGATTTCGTTGGAATCTTGATCTTTTGGAACTGGAAAGAAATTTCGCGAAGCGGATCGCTGGACTTGGACTTCCTCGGCAGGCTGCTGTGATAGCACGTGGGGGGTGGACTCTTGCGACAAACCGACAACATGTTCTGCTTTATCGCCGTGGCGGCGGGTGTCGCCAGCGATAACTCGAACTCCACAAACTCCGCCGTTCGGTGACTCAGAGAGCCGGTGGAGACGCCGGAATCGTTACTGCTCGACGAATCCCTGTTGTGGCCCGTTTTGGATGGCACGGACGACGAGCGTCGGATCTTGATGAACGACGGTTGCAGCGCGGCCGTCAAGATCTGACCGTTCTCGTGACCGCTGTTGATCTTGCTCTCCGAATTGGCGCACGAGTTGTGCGCCGGCTCGCCGGTTATCAAAGAATTCTTGTCCGCTTCGCTGGAACACTTGTGGATGGTGAGCGTGGACGGAAAGGTGTGGCTCTCGTCGTCCAGGTAATGCGCGGACTCCGCGGAGTACGATCGTTTCCTGAGAAGTATGCCTACGCTACCGCCGGATTCCACGGCATTACCCGCGTCCAGATAACGACGCCTGAGGTACGGACTGGACAGCATCGCCGATCCCGGCACACGGTACTCCGAGTCGGATCGCTTCCTGCTGCCCTCGAGCAGCGTGGATCCCGACAGCGTTGGATTGCTGGAACTCTTGATGCCGCTGCACAGCCTGGACAGGATCTCCTTCGAGCAGGCGTTGTGCGCCGGCTGCATCGGCAGGTAACCGGGAAACGGTTTCTTCGGGGTTTGCTGCTTGTCTGGATCCATGATCAGATAATCGTTCTCTCTCTCCTTCATGTGGCCGCACTTCTCGCAGACCTTCGAGGCGTTCTCGCACGGCGCTTCCGGCGCGGGCTCCTTCAGCTGGTCCGCGAACTTCTCGATCTCCTCTTGCGAGATGCTGCTCTTCGTCAGAACGTCCTTGCTGTTCTCGTAATGCTCGAGCGACTGCGTGAAGTCGATGTTCGCGTAATTCGCCTGCTTCGCCTCCGGCTGCGTGTCGATCACCGGCTCGACGTTCTCGTAGTTGTTCGAAGGTTTGCTCGTGATGGCGCAGCCGCAGTCCTCCGTGCCGGCTTTCTCGTCGGAAGATTCGTTCTTGTTCACCCTTCGGGCGGTCGCGTAAATGGCAACGTCCCCGCTGGCGTTCACCACCGGCATCTTACCCTCGCCCGAAAGTTTCACGGGATGCACCGTGACGCCGGTGGGCTCGATGCCTGCGCCGCGCCGGCAGTAAGGCAGGACGAAACCGGCCCAGCTCATGACGTTGTGACAGGGACACCCCGAGGATCTGGGCGATTGGACTGTGAGTTTCGCGGGGCACCCGCACTCTTGCAGAACCACTGCCTGCGGCATCTGAGGCGTGTCGTAATTGGGATAGGTCTTTGGCAGGGTGAGACACTCTTTTATCTTCCTCGGCGTGTCGTAATATTGTTCCGGTTGCGGGCCCTGTTCCAGCAGCATGTGATGCCCCAGGATGGATTTGGGAACGTCGTAGTTCTCGTAAGGTCCCGTGGCGCCGCGAGCCGCAGCCTGCTGAGGCTGCTGTTGAGGCTGCTGCTGAGGCTGCTGCTGAGACTGCTTTTGCGCTTGCTGCGGCTTTCGAGAGTGCACGCAAGTTTGTTGCTCGATAGGCAGCGGCATCGGTGGTTTCTTAGGTTTTTTGGCAGTAACGGACTGGCTGGCCGCTGGCGGTAACGGCGGCTGGGACGGTTTCGGCGGTCTCGGCGGCAACGCGCTCGGGCTCGGTGACATTCGGTGAGCCGTCGTCGTCGGCTGTGCCGTCTGAGACTGGGCGGTTTTCGACTGCGCGCACTGGCACTCGATCTGCTGCGAGCCCGAGTAATCGCTGTCGTGACTGCTGCTGCTGTAGGACGACAGCGAGAGCCGATCGAAGGTGCGGGGCTGCAGGTGATATCCTAGATTGTTCAACGCACCGGCGCCGGGGCTGCTTATACCGCTCATAGCGGTCGTGATGACGGTCGACGATTTCGAGACCGTGCCGAGTTTGCTGATGCAACTGGCGCATCTCTCGAGGCCCGTCGCGCCTTGACGAGTTAGGGAACAGCTTCGCCAATCGCTGTTAGGCTGCTGATCGGGCAGTTCCGAAACGGACATTGTGTCTCTGCAGCTGTAATCGCCATCGAGCTCCGTCTGCTGTCTGCTCTCCGCGGACGACCAGTACGGCGAGCTCTCGTTCTTGCAGCTGTCGCAGTGCTCCTCGTACGTCGACGTCGAGTACACAGCCGAGGAGAAGAAATCGCTGGCTCTGGTCTCGGAGCGGGCGCACTGGCGCCGACTCGGGCTGTCTTGCGCCGACGAGTGCTCCCTGCCAAGCGGTGATCGCTTTTTCGTTGTCAGCTTTCCCTCGGCGGCCAGCTGCAGCGTCTTGACTATGTCGTCCCCCTGATCGGTTATCAGAACGTGTAGCCCCTCGCCCCGGCCGCATCTCGAGCCGCCCTCGAAACAGAACCTGCCCTCGACCACGCCGTATCGTCGGAGATGCGCGATCTCCCAGATACCGACGAGCCGGGGAGGCACGCCGATGGTGATGCAGAAGCGACGGTCCTGAATATGCAAGTGAGCCGGCCCATTGCTGAACTTCGCCTTCGATGGCACCGAGGAGATGAGTATCAAAAATTGCTGATCTGTTGGGCAAAGTTGGGCGAATTAAACAATTTTGTATATTTTATTTAAGAAATTCTTATATAATATCTAACATAACCGTGCATAAAATCAAATTGTTTTAAAAATTCTTGCATAAATTTATAATTATTTTTATAAATTTGATTGTAAAAAAGGCACTTCTCTTCATCGTTCTACTAATTGATGTGTGTTTCTTAAAAAAAATTTAATGGCTTTGCATAAAAAAAAAAAAAAGAAATGTGAAAACGCAAGAATTTCTGAAATAATCCGGTATAATGTTTCTACCATTTTCTCAATAATATACTTGGCGTATAACATACCTTCGCCCAAGTTGTTCGAGATCTTAACTTGCCATTGTATCAATCGCTCTCGCGTGTCGAATGCGAGAACGACTGTCACGTCTTGGCAAATTATAGCAATTGTATTGGATTCCTTGTCGAGAGTAAAACCGCTCTCCACCCCGAGAAAATGCTGCAAACTCAGAGACGCTTTTGTTTGGCCTTGCTTGTAACGATCCTTACTATCCCCGTAAAGTTGCAAATGCAAGCAATCTATTGATAAAAAAAATTATATTTACTTATTTTACATACATTATAATTTCATACATTTATAACTGTTAGACAAGTTAGAAAAAATTGCTTGTCGTACAAAATAACAGACGTTTTATTAATATAACATGTTTTGCTGCATAATTTTTTTCTGAAAAATATTGATTTACAAACGCCTTTTCATCACGTTCCCCAATTACTGGCATACAGAAATAAATTTTGTCATACATCGTTTAATTTTGTAACTTCGTTAAGTCCCACCTAAAAAAATTTATGAAGCCCTTCACAGACCCTTGGTTCTAAAATATCCTCAAGTTACAGGCATCACGTATTAATGGTTATTGCCAGAAGTAAAAGCTGTTCTCGGGAATTTTTTTGTTGCTTCAAGCAGCAATCCGTAACAGATGTGGCAGCTGCCACCTTAGGAAGGCCCAAAGGGAGGGATTCTTTGTACTGATAACAAGCAAGAGAGAGCCCTTTAAAGGAAGTGAGAAGCAGAAGTGACGAACTTTTCGGCTACAAATTCTACCAATTGAAACACATGGAATGTAGACCTCATTTGTCACAGTTTATTTTCGATAAGATAAATGCGAAACAATTACGCAAACAGACACGAATAATATTTCGATTGCATTGAATCAAAATCGCTAATGAGCTTTCCAATTATTACGTGACCAAATTATAAACAAATTATAATGTTAAAATGATTGAAATAATTAAAACAAATTATTGTAAATGAATGTATATAATTATCTCTCACAAAAATCTACATAAATCAAAGATTATTATTATTATTATTTCTGAAGTTTACTTTTAATTACAATTTAAAATAACCAAATTTATCAAGTATTCAATACACAAATGTATTTACTAGAAACAGCAATAACCAAAATGTATATGAAAAAAGTAATTGTATATAAAAATTGAAAAAAAATTAATTTTAATTTAAAAATTAATTGACCAACTGAAAATTCGTAGAAAAATTAATTTTACTTATTTTATATTAATAGATAAAAATATCATTTATTTATAATATTGTTATTCTGTTAAAAGTTGAGTCAACCATTACATTTTTTCCGATATTTTATTTTTACAAAAATATTAGCTCAGATAACAAATTAAAAAAAATTGATTGACTAAAACATTATTTAATGTTTTTTTGATCGCAAAAAATAAAAAAAAAATACTCTTCAAAGATAGACATGATGCATATTACATTTACAACACAGTTAGCCATGCAGCATGAAGCAGCAGGGTCTATTATGCAAATTACAGGATATCGCCCGTATCAACATGATAGCAGAGGCAAAAAGTAGAAAAGCTTCGAGAATATATAATGTTTCCTGTTTATTATCTTATTGCTCCCTGCCTTTTTCCTTTGCCTCGCTTTGTGTGCAACACAACCGCCAGATATAATAAAACAGTCGTAATAAAACGTCTGTACATGTACGTTATTGACACAATCTTATCCAATTCTCATTAATAATAAGATTATTATTAACTCGTTTAAAAACAAATGAACGGCAAAACAATAAGGCTATTGACAATAGCCTATTGTTAGCAATTGCGTTTAGAAACAAGCGATACATATTTTATTTTACCTGCTACTGGTGATAATTTTCGCATAACGCACCATCTTGACTTCCACTGTAAAAAAATTATATTCCTTAGTTATAATATATTATATTTTTCTATTAATTTCATTTGGATGGACATAAACATAAAAACTATATAAAATTGCAGTATATGATATTTGTCCAAAAATTATGTGTAAATACAATTTTTAGAGTTAGATAGAATTAAATAAATTTTGTATTAATATCTGAAATAATTCATTTTTACATGTGATAAGCAATTGTTTGATAATTAAGTTTAAATAAATAAATTTATTAAATACTAAAGTTTACTCGAAATTGACAAATAAATAAAATTTTATCTTTTATTAATAATTTTAAATCTAATCTTATATATACGTCACAATTTTATTTCATTCATTTCTCTTAAAAATGATAAAAATTACATAAATATGATATAGTAGTTCAAAATTCTATATAGCATCTATTTCAGAATTTATGATCAAAGTAAAAGAGGATTCTTTCTTTTCTCAAAAGTCTTGCTCTACCACCCTCTGTCAAGAAAGAAAAAGTTGCTTTTTATAGACTTGGATTAGTTACTTCCTTATACTTCCTTCTAATTTAATTCCTTTCCTCAAAAGCTACTTTAAACATAAAAGTTCCCTTTTCTTGAATTTATATATTAAAAAACTGTGCAATATCAATTCATAAATAATTATTACATAAAATATATAATTACAACAATAAACATATTAAGAAAAATATATTTTTAAATATATTTTTAGAAACTGTGTTGTACAAAATTTTCAAAAAAAAGTTATAATTCTTAACTTAACAATTTTATGATCTCAGTATTCATATAAGTCATATTCTATTTATCTCTGATAACAGATTATGATAAATGTTTATACTGATGATAAAAAATTTCAATGACAGAAATAACATTATCAATTTTGTAAAATATGTCCATAAAATAATAAAGTAAAAATATTTTTATAAAAATTATATGTTAAAGCAAAATATTTTATACATTCTAAATTATGGTATTATAGTCTCATAAAATTATACAATTTAAATATCAAACAATTTTTATTAGAAATATTTTTCTATTAAATTTTTCATTTTTTTCAATATCTAATAATAATAACAAAAACATTTGTAACAAACATCTAATATTTTTCTGCTTTCAAACAAGTAATCACAATAAAAATAATAATGATAAAATAATTGTTCGATTGTAATCGTATCTCTTCCGTCATCTTGCGTTGCCAAAAATTAAATCTGGCAGCCCTGGACCTGCATTGTCGCATATCTTTTCCGGGGCACCCTATATAACGGTAGCTCGAACGAGCCGCCGGCGTCGTAAAATATACATGTACACACTATAAACCGCCCCCGTAATCGTTACATAATTTTCGCCGTGCATGCATGTAGAAGAGTAGCGCTCAGGTGACTCGTCGATAAGCATCGCGCAAGAACACGTTCGGATCTTGCAGAGGCACAACACGCCTCTCGCGTCGGAGATGGGGACGTCGCGGACAATTTGTGAATTAGCGAAATGCGTGCGATTGTCGCGAGATGAATTGAAGCGGGGCGCGATTCTCGCAATTCGGCACGCGTCCTGTCGCGGAATCAACGAACAGTCAACATGCACGCGGATAACTAAGACTCACCTTCTTGCCGTCGCGAAATTTGACGTTTCCCTCGATAATACAACTGTTATCCACCATTGTAGATGACTGGCTCCGTTACTTCACCGCACTGTGATATTTTTCTCATTACCGCGTACAAACGCGCCGTACGGTCGAGCTTCCGCGGCGCGACACCATTTGCAGGACCCTGCAACGACCGATTCTGCACCGCGCTCCGACGTGCTGTCCTTTTCCTTTTTTTTTCACGGAGACGGACGGTGATCTGCAGCGCTGAGCACGAATCACGCGGCAAAATCCATACTGCGAGCGGTCAACCCCGAGCACCTTCCATCTTGACGATATCGGCTTGCTACGCGCACTAGCGCGGCGGTGTCGCGCGAGAAACACCTATGATATCGCGACAGTGCTGCCACTTGAGAGACAACAATAAAAGCGAATCAGTAAAAGGCGGTGATTTTGAACATTGAGTTGAAATTCTAAAACAAATTTTAAATAAAAGAATATACAAAGGTTTTTGACGAACAAAATAAGTAAAAATGACGTGAAAAGACTTAAAAATTGAATTAAATACAAAGGAGAAAGAAGTTTTATGTATATAATTGAAGTAAAAATCGATTTTTGTTATCAGTTACAAACATATCCGTGCAATATATCCAAAATTTAAAAAATAACTCTGTTTGCAAAATGCATTATTAGATGATAACGCAATAATTTTTCGCAATTGTTAATTTACATTGCAATATCAGGGGGCGTCATTCTGCTATAATTGCTTATCTTGTTGATAAATATTTTAGACCGCTAATGCTACACACACAAGAATTAGTAGAAAAGCTTATTAAACACTGCACGTAAATCTGTATATTATGATATCAAACAATCGAAGTAAAGTGTTATATGTTACGAATTACTCATATTGACAATTACCTAAGTGCTCTCTTATTACTTGATTTTTAAACTACCAGCGACAGCGCGCATCATATCTTTACATTTGTAACATCCACTGGACGCTACAAATGGTTCCAAACGTTCTTCTTCTCTTTCTTTCTGCACTGAAAGGAAAGAGAAAAACAAAATGCTTCGAAACATTTGTAGCGTCAAGTGGACCGCAAAGCGACTTTGTTATATACGAGTTCACCCTTCTTAATATATCTATTTCATGATCAACAGGAAATATGGCCGCCGCGAACTTCGGCGAAGTCTCGAAATGGATTAGTAACAAAGCGGCCTCGTTCGTTGGTAGCATTGCGCGTGGTCAAATCCATCGTGATGACAGTTTTGAGTGGTGACAGCCGCGTATACGCTCGTTAGCCGTAGCGTAGCTCCGTGTACCGTACGGTCGACAGTCGGGAATTCGGTCGTGCTGATACATCCCGGATACACGGAACTATCGTCGACACGCGGCGCGACACGAGGCACGAGGTAAGCGACCCATACAACACAACGAAACCAGATGGCTTAGCGGGCCATCCACCTGTGTGACATCCAGTTTGTTTGCCAATACGGATAACGACCGTGTGTATCACTTTTTGATTGTATGCCACGCTCGCCGCGTGTTCATCATCCTATTATCGACGCCAATCGGTCGCCTTTGACGGAGCTGTGACATTTTCGCGTGAGCATACATATTTGCGTCTATTCGCGTCTATCGGCATTTGCAAGGTTGCTGTCTGTATTATAATTGAAGTGCTGTGAGATGTGAAGGTGGGTGGGAGAAGTGGGTGGAAATTCAGAGGGGAGGGAGAATTTCTACGAAATTAATTTCTCCTGAAAATAGTCGGTCTGCAAATATTAGCCATACAGACCGAGCAAAATTAATTTTCTGTCAACAGTTATTATACAACAGAGATGAAAAAACAGCAGTTTTTGGATTTTGACATTTCAATTGTTGTTTGCCAATTAACTACTATTTTTATATTTAATTTTATAATGAGAAAATGACTCCAGAAAGAAAGAGATAAATCTTGTAAAAAGATTTAAATATATAAAATTATTTGTTAGCTTTAATTGTCCAATGAAAATAATGAGTTTTTTTAGAATTATTAAATATTAAATTATACTTTTCAAAAAATGAGAAAAAAGGTAAATTTGTCAGATTTTTTTTAGTTAGTTTATAAAAAACACTGAAGTTATGTGAATCAAAAATATTTAATTTATATAAATATATTTAACTTTACAATTAATTTGATACATATTAATTATATTTTTTATATTAAAATTATACTTAAAAATGGCCAGAATTGCAAATAATTATTTAAAAAAATTTTTGTTTGAAAGTTGGTGATTTTTTCAGTATAAAATAAATAAAAATCCTACAAATTTTTAAAGATTTCTCTACAAATTTAATTATTTGCATTGTTATATTATTTGAATATGTTTAAGTAGATCTAAATTAATGTTTTTAGCTGCTATGAGCGCGTTGACCTCAAAAAGTTCATGTTTTCCAGGACAATAAAGTTAACGCGCTGCCGCGTGAGAAGAAGAATGAGTATAATGTAGCAATACTAATTTCTACTATTTCGCGTGCTGTTGCGAAACTGTAAAGTGAAACGGGATCGAACCACATGAAAGTTAGTAGGCTGCTTTATAATTGCGCAGAGTTACAAAGGGCTAAGGAATACCTGAGTATTCCTCGAAGTAAGACGCTCGATACTTCACCGTTTGCCCATTTTTCTTCCACACGTCGTTAAATTCCTAATTAGATGGAATTACCTTCCGGGGCATGAAAAGACTTACACTGCGCACGTTAAATGACTCTATTAGATAAAGTATCCATGAAAATATACTTCTTCATAGATGATGTATTCCTTGATTAATTTAGAGCTCATTAATTCTCAACAAGAATTGCAACAATTAAACACTATTGTTAAAATTGTTTAAAATTGCGTATTTCAATTATTAGATCAGAAATTAGATATCTTTTAAAATAGAATTTACTTGAAATTAGGTGCAAGATATAACTTTGTTATCTATGGATATTTTTCAAATTAAAATTACCATTATTTTTTATTTTCCCAATAATTTGTTATTTAATAATTGTTAAAAATCATCGAGTCCAAATTTAAGAAACATAATTCTTACTATACGGTTATAAGAGATAATTTACTTACAAGTATTTAATTATTTTATTATTTAATCTTTCGTATAGGTTTTTGATAGATAAATCATTATTAAAAAAGGACATTATATGTGTGTGTTTCTAATCGGATCAGTAAAACAGAATAAATTCGCGTTTTGAAACGGGCTTGCATCACTTTGGCGGTGGGCGTCGCGTATATGGACAATTTTTAGGATGCCTGTGGGCATCGATGGGCAGCGATGCAGAACGCGTTACATCAGTGAAACTCGGATGCAGACGGCGACCTTTAATGCTAAATATCAGTGTGAATCACGGATCGATAGCTCGGTACCGGAACTATGTTTCTTCCTTTCATCATTTCGCTTGTGTTTTCGTGCGGAAATCTAAAATGAGTCGATTACATCACACGAACCTTACAATCTGAACGTGACCTGGATTCTTTTATCACCATGATTGAATGTTTCGGCATTAAATCCCGTAACTCCGTAGCTTTATGCTAATATCTAAAATTTCACTATTTCATATTCGAATATTTTATCAAGCTTATTGAATGTTGGATAACATTTGAGCAGAATAATGTGAATATTGTTCGGAAGCAGAGTACAACTACGGATTATGCTCAAAAATAATACTCGTTTTATCAAAGAATAATATGATTATATTATTCTGCACAAGCAGAATAATATATTTGTGTTATTCTTTGATAAAGTGAATATTATTTTTAGATGTGAAGGAATAAAGACATTTGCTTTCATGCAGATGAATTGGAGATTTATTAGATGTGTTTTAATGGAGAATAGCTCAAAACATACGAAAATTTACATAAAGACGGCTAATATTGAATGTGTTAACTCTTCTAGTCACGTTCGATTGGAGTCACGTAGTTGCGTGGGGTGCATTATGCACTATAACTGGAGCAGAGAAAATTCCCTCGCTATTGTCTATATTTACGTACAAATATTATGTATTTACATATTTTACTGATAGCGCGTTACCGATAGTGTATACGGAAAAAAATTTATTGACACAGCGAATTTTACGCTATTGTGGCAAAATACATACATGTTATTATATGAATAGCAAGGAAATTTATTACGGATGCGAATTTTATTTGCAAATCTGCAAATTACATTATTATTATAACAAATTGATTTTTATTTTGCCATTAAAATTCGTATTGGCAGCGACAATTTTGCTGCATTGGCAAAATACATTTCTTAAAAATAAGTTTTTTTGTTGTAGCAGCAAATTACCGCGTCTTTACGAACAAATTAGTCAGCAAAATAGATTTTGCTAATATACTGAAGAATTTGAAAAATTAGTTGTGGCGAAGTTTTGTCGTTATCGCATCTATCGCATCTAATATGCAACGACGATTTTGCTGCGATAGCAAAATTCTTTTTTTCCGCGCAAGACTCGTGTAAACTTTGTTTTGCGAACGTGTAATTCACGCGACAATATTTATCGGAGCACGTATCTCTCTCGTGTAGCAAATTTTCATATTTCGCGAATATAATTATCGGTGCAAATGGTGTATACAGAATTATCTAATTATTATTACTGGCGGAATGATATATTATACCTTTGAAATCTACCAAAATTTCATTTAATGGTTAAATGATATCTCTGGCGGAAATAAACTGACCTTCTGAAATGCAATTTAGCGCGAAAACGACGCCAATCCCAATGAAACGTGCTGCTCATAATACCTAGGTGTGTATGCACATAAGTGAATCACCAGCTTTCAGCGAATACCTGCTCCATTAACTTTTTTTTAATTAACATGTGATATTTTCACATTAACAGGTACACAATTGTAGAAAAACTGGGCTACAGTATTTGGACTTGTACGAAAGTTTTAGCGATCTTACATGATGCATTTTTGTGCACTCATTACAAGATTAACTTGAGATTTACTTTTGTTTTTAAGCAAATAATATATTTTTGATGCTGTTATTTGCGACAAACTAAAATTGCTAATTATACCAGTGATATTAATTTATAACAAACAGTTATACTATTTATTATAAATTAATAATTGTTAATTATAATAATTAGCACTTTGTGTCTTGTTCAAAACTGAATCAAAGTTTCAAATTGATCAGTAATTAAAATGACATTTTACATAAATGTATGTTTGCATAAGAAAAGAGTGAAAATATGCGATGTGGACATCTTATGAGTTAATTTTTTATCTAGAAAAGCTGTATAATTATTTTTACTGTGTATTACTTTGAGGAATTTATTATGCATTATAAAAGTTGTATATTTTGCTCACCCTTTTCTCGAAACTTCTGTAAAAGCACGTAAAGCTGACGCCCTTTCAATATAAGCTTTTATCTTAATGCGTAAGCGTTTGTGGACACGTAAGCGACGTATAAAATTCCTGGGATAGCATTGCAGAATTAGCAATTTCCCGTTCGATGAACTTTTGCATCTTTAGCAAAGAAAGAACTTTTTTATTTTATCATTCTACAAATATTCTCGACTCAATATGAATCAGTATTTAAAACTGGAAGGAAACATTTCCTGAATTATTCATAATTCTTGTAGTATTTATTAAATTATGATTTCAAATGTTGCATCAAATTGTGTCCTTTTGTTATAAAAAACTCGAATTTTCAGATTTAAATAACCTCTTGTGAAATTTTGTAATTCTAATATCACATCGACTTATATCGGCATTATTTTTCCGGCTTTTCTGATCAAGTAGTCCTGTCAATTTCAGTAAAGCTTTATTTTTCAGGTAATTTGGAATGAAATTGGAAACCTAAATGTCGATAAAGATACAACACACACACTCACACATAGTAAAAAGTAGCAGGTCAGTTAAAAATTGAACAGTCGCAATGGTCTTATACTTTACGGAGGCGTTTTTATTTTACGAATGAGAAATTAATTCGAAAGCGAGGATGGAGGTGAAAAATATTTGACGGATTATCTCGTACAGGAAAGACTGAAATTGTTACGCCATGATATAATCTAGTCACGAGCAAACGACCGTTCCGGCGTTGAGCGATGACGAATGCACGCATACATACAAATCGTTCATCCTAAAGTGTTCACTTCTTGCTAAGAAAATATTCAGAGGCCGTAATTACAAGGTACTATTTTATTTATTGCTTTATAAAGATTTCTTCAATTTTTAATTGTTGGCTCTGTTGCATAATTGTTATTTTGTTTTTAATTGATGAATCTTTGTCCTGATTAGACTTAAAATTGTGTGGCTTCGTAGTGTTGCGAGAGATCGCTCTTAACTCTCAATCTTTATCTGATTTAGTTTATTATTAACTATTAATTTGTAATATGTGGTTATATATATCAATGGACACATATGCGTTCTCTCTCAGTGAATAACGAAGTATTATGATATCATGGTATAAAAATCAAACTTATTCTTTCTATATCTTTTTATACTTATCTAAAGAGATATAAATATTTCTAGTACGCGATAAGCAAGTTTATTTTACAAACACAAATGCAAAGATAAATATCACATTAATGCAAGCCGCATTACGTCGAACTTGTATCTATTTTTTTAAATTCGTTTATTACATTTCGTTAATCATGAGATAAATACGAAGAAGCAACATTTCTTTATCGAAAAAAGGGTTTTAAAACGTTTTTTAAAACAATAACAGCACAATTTGCAGAATTAAAGGATTTGTAAAATTTAAACAAACAGTTATAAAAATCAAGTTACAACTTCACAAAAAAAAAAAAGAGTAAAGAATTCTTGGTCAAAGGACTGTTTGAGAATACTCGAATGCAAAAGGTAAAAAATAAGTCTCGAAAATCATTTTTATTGAATTGAAACTCTGACAAATTTTTCGCAAATGTTCTATTCATCGACGAGAACGCCCGGTTGCTCTCGGCCAGCGGTCCGTACGCGGGATCCTTTTATTTATTTGTCACGAGACGGACGTCGCTGCGCATGTGGAGCATCCTGGCCTGCGCGGGCTGCATCGACCCTCAAACCCATTTCATACTCTCCAGCAGTGCGTGCCTAGCCGGATCCCACCGTGCCGGGTAATCGGGAAATAAGTGAAACGATATCGTATCGGATCGGCACGTCGAGTTTGCCGTGACTGTTTAACGATTCGCTATTCAGATAGAGAGAAAAGGGAGCCCTGCGTCTCGATAAGGCGAAAGAGGAGCCGCGACATCCGAGCGGGCGCGTTTCCGATTACATTATCTGTCTGTATACGATACAACGCGTACAACAACACAATTTCTTCTAAACTGTCATGCATATCAGTACACAATTCGAAAGTTAAGGAAGAATTGTTCGATCTCATGAAGGTGGCAGAGGCAACGTTTCGTGTGTGCGCAGAAATGAGACGCTAAAATGTGCCGGTTCTGTTACTCAGGCTGTCTAACAAGTTTTCTTTTTGTTTCGCTTCCTCTTTGCATTTCTTCTACTTGCTTTTAAAAATCAAACGTAATGCTGGAATTAATTTAAAATAAGCGTATGAATTATACATTATTGTATACATATACAATTGATGCACAGTTATATCACGTTGTGTTTAGTATAACGTAATGCGGCTTGCATTAAGTAACGGTTTATTCACGGCCAATTCGTCACTTATGACTTGGCGTACACGAGCCTTAGATCCTTTCACTAAGCGGCACTAAGCGAGAAGCGCTGTCATTATGCCACACTGCGAAATGTTAAGTATGAGAGCTTGGTTTTTCCAAGATTAAGAAACGACTGCTTTATTCTACGAATTTTATTTCAAATTGTATTAAAACCACCAAAACATTTCAATATAATTTCCATAACTCATTAAAACATAATTAGCTATTATAATGAATTTTGTTCGATTTTTTAAGAACGTAAATTTGCTCAATTATGGAATTAAGGATTCAATGAAACATTTTATAAATCTTGTTTGGAGCAAATTTATTTTGAATTCCTTCTTTTTCCTCATTAATCACCGTTTTATTATTTTTTTTTCGCTCTTGGTCTTTTTTTATCACAACTTAAATTATCGTATTCGTTATATTCGAGCTTTGTGCAGCATATAGGTCAGTAATTTGCCTGATAGTAACTTGGAATTTTTACGACACAGCAATTCCGACAAACGACACACGTGTTCGTCGCACTTTACAAACAACGTGGCATTAATACGAGTGAAGTCGATAATTGAAGGTGGATTTCCGAAATTATCGTAACTCTATGACATTGTACATCTATGTTTTAGAAACATTGTAGAAAATTGTACAAATTCCCAGAGTATATATGTTTTAAAACATAATCCTGAAACTTTCGAAACATACGTATTTCTAGAATAATTATGCACAGATAAAAAATACAATATCTGGATCGATATTGAAGAAATAATATTTTTAATTTTTTGATAAAATTATTTGCTTGTGCAAATTTTCGAGTACAATATTAATGCAAATAAAAAATATATATTATAAATATATTTGAATAATGTAACTCTCGAAAGTGTAAGAGAAGCAACAGAAAAGTTATGATTCAAAGTAATTGTTTCTCTGGATTCTTCGCGCGAAGTGCGGCCTGAAAAACGGTATCTTGACGTATTCCGTTTACTTCCGTCTTACACTCATGTAGCACAGTACATAATACATAATTATAATAGCCTGCTCGGATTCACCTCCTCTTTCGCCCGCTAATTCATTCACACGCATTAATTGTTTCCTTCTTGATCTTTTATCGCGTTGATCTGCTTTGCGCGTTGCCTCACCGAGCGCGGCAATGTATTTCACAAGAATGCCGCAGTCTGTGAAAATATGTTATCCTTTGTGTATTATGATATAATATAAAAATTCCTGCTATTCGACACTCGCAATTGAGATTTTCTCCTCACTGGAATCTTATTTTAAAGCCTACAAAAAGTAATTCTACCTTCTATTATTTTTTTAGAGATCCTTTTTTATTATTAACCATATTTTATATTTCGGTTTAATTGTTCGTTTAAATGTTATTGAATATTAAAAGAATAATTCATAATCGTATTCTCGTATTTAACACAAATTTATAATTTTTATTGCTCTATTTATTATCTTTTCAATTGATTGAAAGCGAACGATAACAGTAACGGCCTGCGCATAATAATATGTTGTGACAACTAAATTGCCTACACATTACCTTTTATTAATTAATATAATTAAATTAATAAAAATAAATGTGTAAAAATACGCATATCAATTTAGAGTAATTTATGGTGATAAAATTCTCCTATATGCGCTGTTAAATAAAAGTCTGTGTAAAAACACCTCATAAATCAATTGTTAAAAAAATAAGTGATATTATAGGCACGTACGTCGACAATTGTTGTACGTAAATTCACGCGAAGCAATGGTGAAGATAAGAACATTGAAAATATAGGAAAGCGAGAAGGTTTTCCACGAACATTAGAATCGACAGTGAAATTGAACAAATTCCTCGATGGTTCTTCGTGGCTTGCTGGCTCCCGCGGCAGCTCGATGGAGGAGAAATAAAACTGCGAAGAGGTAAAATGGCCTCTGCGACTGATAGATTGGTAGATAAATATATCATTCTTTTTTTCACTTATTTATTAGATGCCTGCGGAGAGCACGACTTTACACGACAGAGTCTTGAAACTCAATAGGAAAAGATGCAGTGATAAGTCACGACAACTAAAGTTTCCATTCTATCGCTTTTTATTATTTTAATATAATTAAATTGATCGAAATAAATATACGGAGCAAATTAACATGAAACTTTTCGTGCGCTGTTAAATCAACTCATTTATGCTAACTCGCAGAGAAGACGTGAAACCAATTGTTAAAAGGATCAGTGGATATTAAATTGAAATTTTATTAACAATAAAAAGATTTAAAAAGATTATGAGTAACGTTTCACAGAATTTTAATGTGTAAAAACATTAGTAGCGATTAGCGAACTATTCTTGTGCGAATATTGACACGGATTATTTTACATAATCGCTTTAAAATTGAGTTTCTCTGTTTCATTTAGCGGCTGCCCGTCGGACGTTCCGCTGAATTGCGTTTATGACGCGCAATTGCGAGTGGAAGGCACTCGGGCGTGTATCGCTTTAAATGGATCATTGTGGCGGGCCGTTGTCCGCTGAATCGTGAATCGTATTGCGTTAATTGGTATCCGCGTTAATTTAACCGCAGCCCGTTTCGTTCCAGAGGCCAGAACGTCGCTCGGGACAGCGTGAGCGGGTCGGTCGGCCAATTAGGACTGTCGCGTTATGGACCGCAGGTGATGAGCGTGCTGTGCTTGTGCACCTCCAGCATCCACCAGTCTACCCGTAACGTCACGCAGACCGGCAAGATACTCCCGAGTCCGCCGTTAGACGCCCTTTGCGAGCAGCGGATAACGCCCTCGCAGGAAATACCCACTGACGAGCTGGCGCTGTTAGCTAAGCTGGAGGAAGCCAATAGGTGAATAATCAAGCGGTCCTGGTTGACTCTGCGAACCACTGTCCTCGGACTGTCAAGAGCCGATTCTAACACTATTAATGAACTAATTGGTCTAATGAGCACAGAAAGCATAATTCTTACACTTTCCACATTCCAAGATTTATGGTAAAATTGGAGGGACCTTCTTACATGCACAGATTTGGATGAGTCGCCTGGATTTCCTTTTTTATTTCAAATTAATTTAGTTAAAAATGCTAAACGTTAATTTTACTACGCATCTTGGCTTGGAAATGATGCACAGTAGGATACAGAATACAGCTGCATTTTTAACACAATATCCACAGAAACGGGAAAAAGTGTAAGTTTTGTTTTTTTATTTATGCCTCTTAACGTATGAAATCAATCTGTTTCGCAAATGCTTTGATAAATTTTGTGATATATTATACGAAAGGAAAGAATTTATACAAACATATTTTTGAGGAACAGATCACGCTTGTAAAAAATTTGCCTAATTTGTGTGAAATGTCGACAGTACAAAGTAATTTTCGAAAATTGAGAATAAGTTACACAACGTATCACGAATGAAGTACTTTGTGTAAAGTATAAATCAACGCATTATTGTATGTATTGTATTGAAATACAGTGCGAAAATACAGAAATTGTAATCCGCAATTTTATCAATTCCAGGCTGATCGAATCCGATGCAAAGTCACTGAACTCCCTCCAGAGCAATCACAGCAGAAAGGGCTCCGACACATCTCAGGTGTCTGTGGCGTCGGGGGGCAGCGGAGGAAACGGCGATGCTGCGTCTCGACGCCACGACCCGACCGATGGCGAGGAGAATACGTGGACTCTCTGGGGTCACATAGTGAACGACTGGGATCATCATTGGAAGAAACGAAAAGAGTTTGTTAAGGAATTGGTTCGTCAAGGCATACCTCATCATTTCAGGTATGTCGCGCATATTGTTCTCGGACAATCGTAAAGAACGTTGATAATTTTTTATTAATATTATTGAAACTTCGAAAAATTTTAGGGGAATTGTCTGGCAGCTATTAAGCGGTGCCCATGACTCTCCCGTTAAGAAGCAATTCGCCGAATACATCAAAGCGACATCAGCCTGCGAGAGGATAATCAGGAGAGATATCGCCAGGACGTATCCTGAGCATGACTTCTTTAAGGAAAAGGATGGTCTCGGCCAGGAGAGTTTGTTTAACGTTATGAAGGCTTACAGCCTTCACGATCGCGAAGTAGGATACTGCCAAGGTTCAGGGTTTATTGTAGGATTACTTTTAATGCAGGTGAATCACTTCTTTGTAATGATGAAATTGTGAAACAGAAAGATGTACAGAAGTGCGAAATTATTTGTGGATATGGATAACTTCTAATTTGCGTAATTTAAAAATAAGCATGTACGTTTACGTAAAGAAATACGTGAAAAGCAATTTATCTAAATAATTTTGTTCACATTGTCGCAGCAAATGCCGGAGGAGGAAGCTTTCGCTGTACTTGTGGCGCTTATGCAAGAGTACCGTCTACGGGACATGTTCAAACCGAGTATGGCTGAGTTAGGGGTGTGCATGTATCAACTGGAGCACTTGGTCGCGGACACGCACCCCGAACTTCACGCTCACTTCACGGCCCAAGGTTTTCACACGTCGATGTATGCGTCCTCTTGGTTCCTTACACTATTCACCACAGCGCTAAGTCTTCCTCTGGCATGCCGCATTTTCGACGTTTTTCTATCTGAGGGCATGGAAATTATCTTTAAGGTCGCGTTGGCGATGCTGCATTTAGGCAAAGCAGATTTGCTTAGTTTAGACATGGAGGGCATGTTGAAGGTAAGATTTGTTAAATAGTAATTTTTTTAGAATAAGTAAAATATATGAAAAATGATTTATTGCCAATTTTGGAATTTTTAATGCATATCTTGAATATTCTATATCTTACTATATTAAATTTTTAAATTATTGAAGAGAAAATTATTGCTAATACAAATTTAAAAGAATGTTTAATTTTTAATAAATCTTTCATGGTTTTATATTCTTCAAGCGTAAAAGAAATGAGAACTGCATGAATGTTTACTATATTTAACGAATAACATAAAAAAGTAATTTCATCTTTTCATACAGTTTTTCCAGAAGGAATTGCCTGGAAAGGCCGAAAAAGATCCTGATGGTCTTATGACGCTCGCTTACGGGATGAAAATCAATCCGAAAAGAATGAAGAAACTGGAAAAGGATTATACCATCTTAAAGATGAAGGAGCAGGAGGAGATGGTCGAGCTACGCAGGCTTAGAGCGGAAAACAGGCTGCTTAGACAAAGGACCGAACTTTTAGAAGCCGAGTCCGCGGAACTGGCTGACAGGTTAGTTAGAGGTCAGGTGTCGCGCGCGGAAGAGGAGGAGACCGCGTTCATCGCGCAGAGAGAATTGGCGGCGCTTCGGCACTCGCATCTCGAGACGAGTCATCAGCTCGAGCAAGCTCACGAGGAATTGAGATCGCTGTCGATACTCCTCGAGGAGAACGTGACGTCCAGACAATCGTCGCTGGATGAGATGTTAACGAAGCAAGAAGCACTGTCGCAGAAAGAAGAGATGATACAGTGTCTGCAAGAGGAATTGGTTAGAGTTAGATTACACGAGGCGGAAAACGATGCGCTGATCAGGGAGCTGAAGGGAAGGATACAGGAATTGGAACAAGACAAGAAGACTTTGCGCGAATCGACGCCGGACAATTCCGTCGCTCATTTACAAGAAGAACTTATCGCAGTTAAGCTTAGAGAGGCGGAAGCGAATTTATCTTTAAAGGTAAATCTTATCTTTGCGGCAAATCTTTATATTTATATTTACTTTATCTTTATCTTTATCTTTATATTTAATTTATATAATTTGTTGCGTGTATTATATTAATATTATATTGATACCAAAGAATGTTTTACATCATTTATACAACACACACACAGGATCTGCGGCAAAGAGTTGTGGAACTAAGTGCGGCTTGGCAGAGGCATTTACAAGAGCATCGGTCCGCTCAATCAGCGCCTGCCGCTGATTCCACGCCAAAGAAGTTGCTCTTTTGGGAGAATCGGGGACACGAAGTGCAAAAGTTCGAAGAAGACTTAATGACAACAAGGATCCGAGAGATGGAGGCATTAACCGAAGTCAAGGAGCTTCGGTTAAAAGTTATGGAGCTCGAGACTCAAGTGCAAGTGGCGACGAATCAGCTCCGTAGGCAGGACGAAAACGGGAAAGTACTTAAGGAAGACTTGGAAGCCGCGTTAGCTCGGGAAAAGGATCTGGCAGCCAAGCTGAGAGAACAGCAGCACAAGTATTCCGATCTGGAATCAAAAATGAAAGACGAGGCTATGATGGCTAGGATACGTGATGCCGAGCACGCGCAGCAAGTGGCGGAGCTCACGCAGAAAATATCTCTTCTCGAACTGAAGGTTAGTTTGCGCTATCTCGCTCGAAAGCTGGGAAACATTAATGCCGCACAATGCTGAACTGTAACGTCTGATTTATTTGTAGAACGAGGAGATGTATGCAGAGGGCGAGCTTAGGAATAATTTAGACGACAGTGAGAAAGTGAGGGAGCTGCAGGATAAAGTTGCCGAGTTAAAGGCTGAGGTATGTCGTGTTAAAAAATTTATTTTACTCGTTGTACTAACGAAAGCAGGATATCGGAATATTGCAGTAAGGGGTGAACTAGGTGTTACGACAATTAAAAATATATATGCATCATGTAATATAATATATGTGAAGTGACTATAAGTTCAGTTTAAATGTGACAAGCGATACACATGAACTACAAAAATATATTACAGTTGCTTCTTGAGGCAATGTACAATATATATGTCTTACAGATGTTTACACATGTCTTTGATATTTTTATTTTAATATTTGTGCAGATAATTAATGCAAAACGCGAAGCGTGATAAGCGCAACACTCATATTTTTTCATACAAATATTAAAAAAACATTGTAAATATACTATATTTCTCTACTACAGATACACAGTAAGCCACATTTGAAATGATTTCTTTTATTATAGTTTCGTAATTGTGTCATCACTGCAGTTTTCAGCAAACAAAGATTTTTCGAAAATATCCCATTTTATGAAATACAAATGAAATCTTTCTCACTGTTCTTTTTTACAGCACTGCATTGTTATGTGTTCTTTTAAGTCTGCAAAATATATGTGTGTTTTATAAGACAAATCGAATATCACGATAAGTTTACTACGGAATTTTTCGATTATATTCGTTTCTTTCATACTGTTAATCTCAATAAGCCGAGTATAAGTCATATAATTACATTGTTTAAGTGTAATATACATGTTATTTAATATTTTCATATAATTATATCACACATTCCTCACAAGTGTATTATATATGTAAACTGGACGTTTTGATTTTTAATGTGCTACTACCACATATTGCACTCTTTTATAAAACTATAAAATCATGCCTATATAAAAAAAGACATTCCACTTTGCTAAGTCAGTAAACATAAAGGTACGGTAATTCTCGTTTTTTTAATCGATGTCATACACTTACAGAATAATTATGCACAAACTGCACCTCTTACTGCAATGTAACGCTGGGCAACACGCTTCATAACGTCGCTTCTGGTGGATTGTGGAAACAAAAATATTTGCAACTAAAATCCGTTTTATCAAATAATCCTTGGAAACGTTTATTTATATGAAATAAACGGTGAATCCGATCAACGTTGTGTAAAATAACATTTTGCGTTTTTAAGTGTTTATTTATAAGAATGTTGTTCAATTATAATTTTCAAAAAAAATAAGAGCAGGAAGAAAATATGTAAATATGATCAAATAATTGAGCAAGTGTGTGGTGGTTGAATAATTGGAACATTTAGCCAAAGGAAATTAATTGCATCAATTTATACACAATATACATTAACAAAGAATTTTATCGAAAATACTGCTTCAATATTATATACGCTACTAATAATGCTTAATTAATTAGGGGAATATGGCTTTGCCTCATTTACACATCGCAATAATTTGTTATCGTACAGGTACCTATACACATTAAGAATTCGCTGTATCGCGCGTTCACACAGACACTCACGTAGCAGATAACAAAATAGACTACTGTTTACATTTGCGCTTGATATATCGCAGCTTCTCATATGTACACTGCTATTTCAGGAATGCCTTCAGGAATTTAAATTGTCAATTACACTCAATAGTTCAGGAAGGATATAATCTCATTATTTTTTTATCTATTGATGTGTTATTTATCCATCTGTTTGATTGCACCTCGTTTTCTGCAACAAAAAATCTTTTACATACGCATAAGTTATGCTAATGACAATATAAATTAGTGATTAAAAAAAACTGCTTTATCATTCACTTGATGTATACGCGCGATTCTCTTCACCAGAATACACGCGTTTTTGTCGAATGTGCAACAGTCACAGCGAATCTTACTGCGTAAAGGTACCGTGCGATAACCAATGCTAGCCAGAAGGGACTAATTGTTTGTTGTAAAACTAACCCTCTATTGCTGTGTTATCTCTGTCTCTCCTCAGTTCCCCACGCCAATCACCAGCCCGGAGACTGAGCCTTGGCGCTGGCTCGAGTAAGTCTTTACCCACATGTGTAAGCATCATTTTCTATCGTCTCCGTATGCGTGGCATGATGTTTTTTTCTGTACTGTAAAAGAGTTTGTCGTTGTATAATTATGGCTCTTATGGCGCTACATTTTTCCTCGACGATCCACGTTTGGAGTCCTTGCTTTGATTAATAGCCATCAGTGTTCATTTACATAGCAGGTAAACAGATCTATATTAGCAATTCATTATTACGACAAAGGTATGTACAATGCATTCCTCGCGTTATGGATTTATTTAATTGTATACCTTTGGTCGATCGAGGAACAAAAATTGTTTTTCGAAAATTAGAGATTGAAAATATTTCGTTGGACGCGACATATAAATCTTATAACTTCTGATGATATTGCCACGATTGGACGGCGATCAGACAATTCTGCGTTAAAACGTGGCTCACTTTCTGTATTATATGCGTGGTGATATGACATGGTGCTCTTCTTCCCGTTTGCATGCTTCCTTAAGATTAAGTTCACTGTTTCGTTCTGATAAACATTCACGGCTGTTGCTTTTAGCACGAAGAAGAAGAAAAGCATAGATGTGAAAGAGGCGTGAAAGTATCTGTGAAAGTATCGTAAAAGTTCATTAAGCTGCGGGATGGCATTTTCTTGGTTTTCTTTTCTCAGTGCATCATCGTTCATTTGCATGATTTCATCTAGCAATCGATATATCGATATATCTGTACATATATGTTAAAATAGATAGATACTTGCGATAGAAGGATCCTAAATAGTTTATGGTTTGAAAAGCTAGGAAACTAATTTTAAATGTATTTCATAAGAGTTTTTGTCACATACTGTTATATCGCCATCACTTTATGTGAGTTACGATTACATAAATAATATAAATTAAAAAAAATTACTGCCGAAAATATGTTTAGAAAGAGATCAGAGTCGCACAATTTCAATCAGCATATTTTGTGCTGTCCGGGAAAGTCGTGATTATGAAAATACATACTTTTGAGAGAAAAAATATTAATTAGCTACATTCTGCAGTAATGAGGCACATTAATCTCATGTGATAATAATAAACATGAAATTATAACTCGTAAGCTGCAAGCATCTCTTAAACAAGCAACAACATTTATATATAATTATCTCAACGTTTACATTGCATTATATGAAACATAATTAAATTTACATTCAAAGTAGGAAAATGCGCGAAAGCGAACAGATGAATTTTGCAATAGTTGTATTAACATTAAAATTGCAGAAAAGTAATATTTTATGTCACTCTTGTGGTAATTAAAATTATTCGTAGCAAAAATTTTGAAGAAAAATTCTCCAGGAAAAACAATTTTCAATTTGTTTATTTAATCTGAACAATCGGCAGAGTAAACGATATGTTTGCAACAATTTGCAATACGTTTATGATAATATATTGCTAAAGTCAAAACAATCAAGTAATAACTGACAACTTATTTCTCCGGAAGTTCTCAGAATTTTGATAGAATTTTCTTTTTTAAATAAAAGTTGAATAAGAATACTTTGCGATGGCAAGACCGTATTTGAAACTTTCTCTTTCTCTCTCTCTTTCTCTTTCTCTTTCTCTTGAATTATTTGAAGGTGTACTTCACATCACGTCTATCTGTCACAGGTCATGAGGCTAGAGAATTGGAAACAACGTTGGACGGGTCTCGGCGGGCAAACTGCACGAAGTTTTAGCGTCGATACTGAAAGCGAATTGGACGAGCGGGATCTCAGAATTTGCTTACAGGATCATATCAATACGACCACGCCAAACTCACCCGAGGTATAGAATTCTATGTATACCAGACCATTAGGCAGCTAACAATACTCCGTTATCGATGCGCGTACGAACCTTTTGTTCGTCGTCGGCTTTTCGCTGTAGGTAATAACGCGTGTACACGCTTAGATTGTAACACGGAAGTAGATCCGTAATAATCCTGTTTAGTTACGTGTATTACTGCTAGGCCAAATATAACGGATATGAATAGCCATTAATTAATTAATTAACGCTGTAACGATAACGAATGAAACAATGAAACAGTAACGATAGACACATTTTCGGCAATCGACCGAAAGTAATCTCGATCGTAATCAGGACCCGAAACAGTGGTTTTTCGAAGAAAGCATTTTTTAATATTAAGATTTTTTTAAAGCACGATAACAAAATATTGTTATCATTATTATTTGCAATATTATTGTACTTTGTAGATTATGTTACTAAAATATAAAGCGTACGTTAGTGTAGTTAACAATGAAGTATTATAGAATGTAACTAACGCGCGATAGTTTATTCAATAGACGATAATACTAGCTTATAACAATTTTTACGACAGCAATTTGTTTTCAAACGAAGTTTAGATTGACAGGATGATCTCGGAAGAGTTTCGAATTTTAAAAAACTGCGAGATGGAATTTTATTATATTCGAGGCTGAAATATCGCTTTTTGTGTCCACAAATCTGATCTGTTTTTCAAATTTTCGAAGCTTGATTACGATCTGTAGATTATACGAAGATTATCATAGACTATTCCGTGACACACGCAACTGTTTTTATACGCATGATATACTCTGTGTATTTTTTGTAATTCATACCAAATGTAATCGCATTTAAGAAGTTGTATATTTAAACACCGGAAAACGTGGTGATGGAGATGTGTATCGCCGTTTTTTTATATATATACATATATATATATATATATATGTATTTATATGTGTGTCACGAGGGATCATCGCATAATGATATTCATGCAACACATAAAATACTGCGTGCATTATTCTAATCGAAATTTGACTATTTAAAGTCTAATTATACTCAGAGAGCATATTAAATCCTTATTATTGTTGTCCCATATATATATATGTATATCATTTGTAATATATTTAACGAATTTACTTAAAAAGAAAAAAAAAAAAATGAAAAGGTTAATTTTATGAATAATAATGCAATTTGCGCACAGCACCGAGAAAGGTGTGTATCTCAATTACTTAAAAGGCAATTTTACGAGGGATTACAAAATCATTATAAGTCGATCTTGATATTCCGCGAGGAAGGAAAGCGAAAATTGTTTTTCTCAATCAAATTAACGATTGCAGATTGTTGAAACCGAAACCGAGCGAGATAGTCGGAAGTACTTGTAAAAACTAGTACCCGCATAGCTCGTTCCTAACAGTGACTACCTAGGATAATTACTTCCAATGTAAGTACTCGCGTAAACATCTTGCTACTTTCTTTTACAGCGAGTCACCTTAGCCTACTTGCAGCGCGTCTTTTCTCGCTTGGCCTAAATCGTTACGTCCTATTCCTTTGTTGCGTTCATAATTGGCAGCGATTAATGTTTTTTAACCAGTAAATCTCCGTGCGTTAATGAGTCACGAATCACTTTCGATACAAAGCCCTCTTCGCTTTTTTCACGCATGCATGTGTGCAGATTAGCATGAGCGTATTATAACGGAGTTACGAAGACGCACTGGCAGAACGATATTTCGTAGTATTTTTTAATTGTGTGCTTTAATGCGTAAAGACAAATCGCGCGAATTTTATGCGATTTGGCGTTTCTGTATCGCACGGGCTGCGCACAGATTAAAAGAGATACCAAAATTTGATATTAATTAAGCGAATCGAACGAAAATTGTAGAAAACGCGAATAACATGGCTGTTTCACGATCACGTATCGAGCAATGTATTTATTGTGTAAGTAGGACGACGAAAGAATAAATGTGCAAGACCGAGGAGGAGAGAGTGACATTTATATCTGCGTTTTGTGAGTTTAGAAGAAATATTTATAGCGCCTTAGATTTTGTTGCACATTAAATTATGCTGTTAGAATCAATTTAATCGACACAGACACACTTAACATCGTAGAATAAACGGCGGTGAGTTACGATGTGTGTACCGCATTCGTAGTATCGTAATACGTATCTGTAGTTTCCGTGTCATTGGACTTGTATATGTAGATTGTCCTAGACCTACCGAGTTATCTTTCAGCTCCAAATATCAACGGGCCAAACTAATTAAAATGCCAACTATTTCAGTGTTAAGATTTTGATATAAAACTTTTTCGAAAAGTTATGAAATTTTCCACAAATACAAATTTAAAAGTATACTCGATAAGCTTAAAAATAAACAATCGATAATCAAGTTCTAATTCGGTTCTAATTTGAAGCAAAAGTAATTTTAATAATAATTTAATCTCATTAATTAGAGATCAATCACTGTGAAATCCTGGTATTTTTCAATTGAAAATGTGATAATCGATAGGCTTGAGTAGAATTTTTCTTAAGGGAAGGTCGATATCGTTTTTATTGAAGAATTACGATTTAAATGGCTCGCTAGGTCGAGAACACCGTATATACGATACGAATTCATTCCGTTAAATTGCATCATTGATCGTGCACGATAAAAGCGAAATAATGAATAAATCAGCGACTACGCATCCAACGATATCAATAAATTAAGTTGCATGAAACACGCTACGAGAGTAAATCATTATTCATCACCGTGTGTTTTCGTAGTCAAATCCATGAAATGTCCTTTGATTTCATTCTCTTAATTGGCTTTTTCTAAATTCGATATTCTCAGACGAGAAATATTACTTAATAATATCGATTTTGTTTTTAAACAACTTAACACCACTGATGCCATCATTACTGTTGTGAGATATATTTGAAATACGAGTTGAAACAACAATTTATATATAAAATTTCGTATGCCGATACAGTTGTCACGATTACTTGAAGAAGGCGAACGTAAGTGCGCGGCAGGAACTACAATGCGTCGCGCCACAGTATTAATAATTTAGCGCACGTTTTTTTCCCTCGGAAACCAGTACGTTCGATCGACGCAGAACTACCGCAGTCCAAGATGTAGCATGCGTTCGTTCTTGTTGTGACGACGATAGAAGGTCACCGAGGAGATAGATAGATGGTTTGGCGTATCTCGGCATAGTAGTCTCGAGCGATTAATCTGTTCGCCAATCGATTTGTCATCGACTGCATTCCAGAGTTTTTATCGTTTGACTTTATAAGAGAAAGACATGGAGATCGCGCGATATTTAATGGACTTTTCATGTTGCATTGCATGACGATAGTATGTGCGTTTCGTGATCGGACGTCTAATAGACAAAATAATCTCGCATCGATGCGTTATTGCGTGGCACGACGTGTGAAAGCCACGGCTAAACGCGCATATTGAACGGCTCGGTGCGATCGCGACTCTCGTTGCGTGTCCCGCTGAAACGATCTACTGACTACAGAGTGTCCCGAAATTCGCGGGTGTCCTGTTACTCTTCATCTGAACAATGTGTTGAATCCGTTGAACATTTCGCGCGATCTGTATTCGATCAATATTCTAAAACGATACATGTATTTTTTTTTAACTTTCTACCCCACATTTTTGTGCTATTAAAAATACCATTACTGTTAAAAATATCTAAAATATAATTAAATATCCAATAAATACAGTTTAAAAAGAGCTTGTCCGGAAAATCATAATTAATTCTTTGACTAATTTAAAGTCGATTTGTCTTCAATGAAAATGTTGAAAAAAGTTATCATTTATTGCACTTTTCTAATTTTGAAATTTTGTAATCTCGATCTTAACATATATTTTTATAACTAATAAGAAGTTTAAAATTGAAGTTTTATTAAAAGCATCAATTTATTTGAATTTAACTATAGAATGTTCTATTGTTACTTTATTTATTATTCTTAAGTCAGTTTGCTAAAAGTTTTTTTTTAATTTCTCTAATAATTCAAAATTTCGATTTCTAAAAGAAGAAAAAAACAATTTTAAATTTATCAGAATCTGTCATTAAACGGACATTTATGTGAATTTTAGGACACCTTGTATATATACGTACGTACGATCTTCAACAGCATAATGCTCGTAATCGGGAGGGAAGTAGCGCGTGCGAATGGTACATATTTTCCGAGTGAGTCAGCACTGGCCGACTCCGACGGCCGACAGTGGATCCAAACCCGCGGCCGCTAAGGGTCGATTAATTGGATCGAACGAGAAAAACGATATTCCACTTTAACCCGCTGGAGAACTGGATGCTTTTATCACTCCGCTGAGATGTCACGTGTCTTCTTCGCGCCCTCCTTTGTTCTGTTAATAATTATCACGGTCATTTGTCCGCGTCAGTGAATGCATTCAAACATGCTTGTGTCGACTGTTTCGTTCCCTTCTTTCATCAACTCAATAATTTTTGTTCTGAAAAATTGCAAACTCTTAAAATCACAAAATACGTAGCCTCTCACAGGCAGATCAGTTTCTCTCCGCCATTAAATTTGCAGTATTTTACTTTTATTACCTTGTTTTCCCTTCATAAAATGATGATTTACAAAAATATACGAGGAATTATTATTCCCATGTATTTCCTTCTTCTCGTACAATTGACAATTTTTCCCTTTTTTGGTCAATAATATATCTCTGTCTGTAGGATTGTCATAACACTTCATGTAGGGAATTATCCTCGGATATTTTTTACTTTCTACACGGTATCTTAAAAAATTCGTAAAATACGAAATATAAATATAATATTCGTATAAATTAAATACAATAAACCTGTCCTGATGCTACATATTTAACTTCCAATATGAATTTTCTAATAATTCACGTTACATGCTTATTCCAGAAAACAAATATAACATGTTCTCTTATTATAATATCGTTTATTATGAAATTTGAAATTAAATTTTATATTAAAACACAAACGTCATAAATTAATTTTAGTTTTTACAGTTTTCACATTTTTGCTCTGTGTATTGAAAGAGAATGTTTTAAATTACGTAACAATTAATTCAGATAATTTTATAAAATTGTCAAAATCGGTATTTAGAGCGTGTTTTTACCCCGAAAACAAATCATTAGTAATTATAGATTTATATTTATCTTGCATATACAGGAAATTTCATTTTTTTCAACGCAGAAGTGCTGCAAGCATAAATCATTAATTAAGATGCACAAATATATTTTTAATGAGCTTTTTTTTATTGTGTTATATTTTACCGCAAAGCTATGAGAGTAAAAAGAGTTAAAAGAAGTGGTTCTTTGCAACGTATGGATTGCAATATAGTTGTAAGTGTTTCAAGGTTCTAATATTGTGTATGTTATTGTTATTATTTCGCTATCAAGGAAATGATAGGAAAGTATTAAAGTCACAATATTAAAGTGCTCCGGAGAACAGAATGTTCTCAATAATGCCGGGTTGAAATAGGTTAAACGGTTATTCAACGTAAAAGGGACGGGCGTGTAAAGTGCGGAGTCTGAAAAAAACTCCTGGACAGTGAATAATGCACAAACGCGTTGTAAGATTTTCCACGTGGGTGCGTTTTCTGATAACACGTTTCACCCAGATCGATATCGTTTCTTTTCGCGCCACCGCTACTACCGGGTAAAAGAGGGAAAAAGAGAACTGAACCGGAGGGTGCACCCTTAAAGCCCCATTTTAGACGGATCGATTTTCAACTGTTATCGTGCGAGAGAAACGCTCGCGTATATGCAACTTGTAACGTTTTTAATTTCACATCATAGCATACCATATGGCGACCATGTATTTTCCTCGTTGTTTTCCATTTCGGCGTGATATCGATCTCTCTCTCTCTCTCTTTTCAATTTTTATATATTTTTTTAACTGCACTATAAATTCAATACATATTAAGTAGATTATGTTGTAATTTATCATATATTTTCTAAATGCAAACAAAAATAGCGCGAAAAAATTCCACAAATAATTGCATTTATATCAAATTACATAAAATTATCGTAAATTGAAATCTTATCTTATGACTGCGACTTTGTCATGACATCTCTTTGTCTTATTTGCTTACGCATCCTGTCTCTATAGTTTACTTCCAGGTACTGATAAGATATGCATTATATACATTATAGAAGTGAGTAATATTTTTAGAAAAAGAAATCTTGATAAATTTTCTGTTAGAAAATAAGTCCAGTTCATCCTTTTGTTTAAAATTTTCTTCCAATAAGTTTCTGTAATAATATTTTATGCTTTAATATCATTATGAAAATTGAAAATAATATATCGCTTTTTTACATATGTAAAGATAATATATTTTTTCGAATAGATAAAATGTATATTCCTCATTCAGCTCTCTTGGTGATGTAAAAATTAATATTCGACATCAGCCAAAATTAACTGCACTAATAGAACAGGAGAGTTACATATAAGAGTTCAAAATAACATTATCTCTTCAATGGTTTCTCTCGTTCCGTGTGAATATCATCCAGGATTTTCATTATCTGAGAAAATTCGTTCTCCACTTCTTTTCAATAATACTCTGCATTGGGTTATAACCAACAATAGCCGATCGTGTATAGGTCCAATATAACGTTGCCTGAAGTCAACCGATTAATTAACTACGTCACAGTTACCCCGAATCGCCGCTCGTATCGATCCATCGCGGAGCCACGAAATATCGAATCGAAAATATGTCGCGTGGATTGCATGCACTGCCTCGGCAATTGCTGGTCAAAATCAGAAAATAGCTCCGCGCCTTAAATACTCCCGTTCTTCGCTTTGAGGTTATTAGCCTCGTTTAATCGCTGCAGCACTCAACCTCTGTCATCACAACATTGCGGAAAAGAGAGGTATATTTTCCAGATTGTATTCTCTGTTCGCAGCATTTCAGCAAAAAGACATGTTACCTACAGAATTCTCGGAAAGCTCTGTCCAGACCGCTCCCCCCCTCCTGCTCCCCCAAGCAAGACCGCAAAGGGTTTAAACATCCCATCGGAAGGGTGTCGCGCCTATCGATCGCGCGCACGTCCACCGTCTCTCGGTCTATCGATAATTCCGAGGTGAAGCAACGCGCCGCGCGCGAGGGTGTAATTCCACTTCTAGGCTTAACGATCTCGAAACGATATTCCAGCCGAAGTTGGCAGAGAAAAAGAGAGAATAAGCAAGAGAACGAGATGAAAGCGTCGGGCGTTTCGGGCCGGGTCGAGCTTGCGCTTCATGGACGGCGCAAGTTCCAGCAAGTAGTTTTCCAAATAGAGTCTATCGGTCGGAGAATGGAAAAAAGTAATCCGTGAAAAGGGGTTCGTTGTTGCGCTGGTTGACGCGATGTTGCCGCATTTTCGTGCGCCCGTGCACCGCGATGCATAGCGCAGCGATGTGCAATATGCTACGCATGCGTTGCATCGGCCGCCCGGGACGCGCAAGTGATGGGCCCGATCCGATTTTCGACTCTCCAGCTTGCCGCTGCTCAAGAACGATCCTTCAAATGCGGTCGATAGAACGATGGACCCAGGACCGTGACCAGAGGCCAGGTCACCGGAATCTTTCAGGTTACAATAAATCCATAAACTTCAAACATACATGCAGCACATGTTAACATGCATTTCGCATATTTTTCCCAAAATAAAGAAAATTTTATTTTTCTTTCAAATAAAATTACGACATAGATCCTTGTAGTTGAATTTCCCATATTTTATTTTTAATTTCAAATTGAAAAAGCAAAGAAACAAAAAGTTATTTATTTTATTTTTTAAACAATAATCAAGTGATAACATTATTGCACAATAAAATCTATTAATGGAATTCGCGATCTAAAAATTCGCGGTTTAATTTAATATTGCCAATTTTCAAATAAATACAATATTTTTTTTGTAAGTTGGTATTTTGTAACGCGACTATTCACTTTAAGCGGCAAAAATTTGTGTTGTGGCAACAGTTATTTTTATGGTAATTTATTCGATTGAATTGTATAATAGTTTTTATTGCGTAGAAAACAGTTTTATCGAGTGGCTATATAGTTCGTCATCACAGTGATTTTACTTTATAGAGTAATAGTGCATATCCTTCATGACACTTCATAATCGAAGATATGAAAAACATCGAAATAGTTCATCCGCAACGTTTATCGCGACAGTACTCTGAAGCGCTGCGCGAAGATACCATAAAATTACGCACCGCGACATCGAATCTCTCGGCGTAGTAGTTTCACATTTCTCATTGTTTATGTACTTGCTTTAAAGTGGAGTAATTGAGAAGCAAAGTTAATTAAGTTTCGCCTGCAATTTAAAATCGTGATGTTCCTTTATTAAAGACATTTCTTTTTCGACATTTTGTTGTCCTGAATAGGAGGCCGTCGGGGTACTTTCGAAGCACCGTCATTTTCGATCCTGCGCACCGTCCTTTTCAAGCAGAAGGTATCGATGCCCTTTTGGCCCTAGTTCAGAGCCATCGCTAGCTGTTGCAACGGCGTCGGCGTCAGTGGCGGCGTTGCCGATTTTCCTGGAACTTCTGGGCACGGGGAAAAGGGAGAGGTACGCGCGCGCTCTTTCTCTCGCAAGGAGCACATACAGGCAAGGGTGGCCAACCAATTAAATATGGCGACCACGGTGGGGTGTGGCGCTTGCGCATGCGTGCGGCGAGAGAGAGGGGAAGACGGGAATCGCAGAGCGATACAAGCGGCGACGAGAAGGAACCGGCCGGCGAGCAGAAAGAGGCGACGAGTGCTTGGCGTACGGTTTGTGTGGTGCGCGCTACCGTCTCTCGAGTTAGGCTACCCGGAGTGTACTTGCGATCCGAAAGGAGGCGCAGCGCGGAAATAGAAAAGAAACAAAGGGACGCGCAGGAGAGTGATTTCCCCGGTGAGCTACGGATAAGAGAAGAGAAGAGAGAGCGAGAGAAAGAGGAACGAGCGAAAGGCAAACAATTATATAGGTACAATGACGATGTCAACCGAAACGGAGAACAACGGCCCCGAGAGCAAGGAGATCAAGGACGTGAAGGAGCTGAAGGAGGCGTTGAAGGACGACGCGCCGCCGGACAACAAGCAGGAGGAGAAGGACGCGGCGAAGAAGGACGAGGCAGCCGGCAAGAAGGACGACGACGCCGCCGCGGCCGCCGCTGCTGGCGGCGCGAACGCGGCGCCGGCGAAGGCCAGCACCGTGCATCACCCCGACTACGAGAAGGATGTTGTTTACCTCTATCAATTCCCGCGGACGCCCTTGCTGCCGTCCTTATCACCCTACGGTCTCAAGGTAGAGACGTGGTTGCGGCTCAACGGCATCAAGTACGAGGTAAGTGTCGCGAGCATATTTTTTTCTCTCCCCTCTTTTCGTCGAGGGCCAAATCGGTCTCCTCACTTTTCTTACGTGCGTGCGTGCGTACGTGCCGGTTTGCAGACGAGGGAGGATCGATTTTCTTTATGCTACTCGTCGAGCGAGCGCCAGTCTCTCTTTGGCTTTCTTTGTCTCGCTCTCTTTATCGCACGGTGCGTATCGACCGTTTTTTGGAGTTAAGATGTTTCCGAAACACGAAATCATATGCTAACTTTGGAGTGAATGAACTGTCTTGCTTGGAGCGAAGCGAAACGGACGTTTAAACGACAACTGTGCACGCGCGAGCGGGATAGATACGCCACGAATCTGTAATCAGACTTTGAAATTGGTATAATTGCGAGTTCAATTAATTCATTTCGAAGTTTGGAAAAGTATGTCTCACATTAATCCTCATACTTTCGTTCTCACAGATTAAATATCAAGATTATTTTTGTGCGTCTCATCGAAGTTTAGACACGATCGAATTAACAGCAATTTAAATTCCGGTAGTCACAATATCTATTCCGCGCTGTTAGTGTTGGTTAATCGGAATCCGCATAGAATACTCCGCGCATTAATGCGACTTGATTTAAATCGGCTGGGATTTCTCAAGATGCAAACGCGCTCGGTATTTCGTTCTGGCAGGAATTAGGGTGTGGATAAAGGGAGTGCGCTCGCAACGCGCGTTTCGACTTGTCTGATGCTGAGGCCTGTTTACACGGTTTATCGGCTCTGGTCCGTGCATGTTTGTGATCGTTTTTAGATTGTTTGGATAATACGCTTGAATAATACGTTTCTGCAGGACTGAAGTGATATTGACGTATCCGAAACGTATTTTTTAAAAACCATTAAATGAGACTATTATATGGAATTGAAATTTTTGTGTGTGCATTTTTGTGGTGTTCAACGGCACGTTTAATTTATGCCGATCCTTTTAAAGTTATCGAAGTCTGCAATCTCCTGCATAATTGTACTGCATTAAAAAAATCAATATAAGAATTGTGCTATGCGGCATTTTTGTTTTGTAAGTTTAATAATTTAAAATGATAGAATAGTAATAATACAGATAGCAATTATTATAAAACTTATTATTGATTATGTCGAGTGATATTGAAGTTGAATAAAGAAATCAAAGCAACTGACAAACGTAATGAAAAAATTCTTATTTTTTCTCGGTTTTCATATAACTTAATTTTTTTGTACAATGCAAATTTCTATGCTATTAGTTAAATAAAAATGACTTTTTCGTATCTCTTTTGAACTTTATTTTTTTGAACTAAGATATGAATATTCCTAGTCGAAAGAAAAAGAGCAATCTCTCCGTGTAATGAAAAAGGCACGTGCTTAAGTGTACATCGCAATATCGTAAGCATAATTACCCTGCGACTCATGACAAAAATGCATGCATAAAAGTGGCCTTCGCGAAACGTTTCAAAATGGCGGCTGTTGTCAACTTTCGGAGAGGTGTATTCAATCTAGGCGTATCTCGATGAAAAGCAGTGAATAGTGCTCGATAAAATTGTCCCATGACTTCCCAATGAAAGGATAATAAAGATGACTGTCCCAACAAACATGCGTGATGTGGAATTTTGTGCAAAAACTGGCTATACAGCAATATACAGTTGAATATAAAGTGAGAATATGTGTGGTGAACATTTAAGATTTCTGATGAGAGTAATATTTTTTCACTCATTCTTGTTCGTAAATGGAAAGCGAGAAGATCATCGATTTTTTTAGTGGATTAAAAAAGTGGATTAAAAAAATTATAAAGTTACTTTTCGAAATATTTACTCGTGCTGTTTCTTATAATATCGAGTTTTGCTTTCGTCAAGTGTAAAAAATAAAAATATTTTGAATTTTGAGGCGTATAATTAACCAAGCTGTACTCACGAATTTCGTAAGAATAGTTAACGCGTTCTACAAAAGGTTCTCGGTCGATTTTTACGGTACAGTTCGCAGGAATTTAGTACGGCAATTTCGGGATAACGTTTATTCGCGATATATTTCCGTTATTTTTGACGCACGATGCGCGATCGGTCGTTTCTTTCCGCTGCGCGATTTTATTGATATAGAAAGCGGGGCATCCCGGTTCTCTGAGACGGCAAGAAAACGATCTAACGAAAGTTCCGTCTGTTTCCGGCGCGGAGTTGTTTCTGAAAAACGAACACGTGTGATAATCTGCTCGCTAAAATCAATTTTCTCATCGTCGATCCTTAGATGAACTACGTGACATCAGATCTCCCCCGCGAATCGATCGTCGCAATCGGATCGATATTGTATTACTCTTTGTGTGGGCGCTTTCTCGCGCGAAAGTTGAAATTCTTTCCCAGCACGATAACGTCGGCACGCTTAATTATCGCGATTCATTAGGACGATATTGTGAGCGAAAATCATCGCTAATGATCGGGATAATGGCCAATTGAGAATTCGTGTGCCGGTTCGCTTTTGTATCTTCATTGTCGGCTGCTATGCAGTCGTTAGCTTAGAAGTCGGCGAATTAACGGGCTTTTCATATTTTTATTACCGATGTTAACTATAATAATTTAATAGAACAAATTTGACTGTAATTTGAAGATATATTAGAGTGATTCTAATATAATTGCAGTTTAGCTCGAATTATAGGTATAACTTATGTTTTGCACTAAAACAAGTAAAAGCAGGTTTATACGAAGCACCACAATCACAATAATTTCACATGAATTTTCTCTTTTTCTCACGATATTGAACAAGCAGGCTAAAAAATGCAATTCATGTACAAGGTGTCTTAGATATCCCACACCTCCTTTCAGCCGTAGATTTGAACAATTCATGATGCGCAGTTTTCCTTAATTATAACAACTGTATTTTTTGCAAATTTTTTGTTTAATTGCAAATATATTCTTACTTAATTTTTTAATTAAAATTCTATTAAAGTATATAATTTAAAGCACGCTAAATTTTTAGACAGATTTTGCATGAAGATAAATCTCTAAATATTTCGTCGTTTTAGCTTTACCAGCTATAAATACGCTGCCACTTGTATTAATAAAAATCCATCATGAATCGTTTGAAGAGTTCAGTTACACCGCGTATACACGATAGCCTTGAAGGGATAAATTTACCGTAATTAAAACTCCGGTAAAATTCCACTGGTGATCTCTCCGCTTTTATCGACCCTCCTGACACATTTGTCTTCTTTCTACATTGTCGCTCTTGCTTACCCCGGTCGAGTCGTTACCCCGACATCTGTTGAACATAACGCTTTCCCTCGATAGGGAGCGGCTGCGCTAAACAGAGGAATGCTTTTCGTGCGTAACGCATTGCCCACGAGGCTGGCTTTCTACCGGCATTATAAAGGGAGCATCAAAGAAACGTTTCTTAGTAATCTAACTTTATTGGCAGTGTCATTAATTTTGATTAGATATTGATTTCTAGAGAAGAAATATATGCATAGTAATATCATTAATATCTTATACTTTGAGATGAACTCATATTTAATCTGAAAAGACTGTAGTCTGCGTGTAATTAATAATACTATCAACTTACCATTAATACTTTTGATTTTAAGACGAATCTCCTGCATAAATTATTTATAACTCGATATAAATAGCGTGCAAAGTTTGCTCCAATATTAGAAGCAATTAATTATTTTAACATAATGAGAAGATAGATAATTGCATAACATTATTATTAGTTATAATGAAAATACAATTCTTGTCTTCTTGAAAATGCAATTAAGTACACTCTTTGCAATCTCTGTTATTCTGCGGCTATTTTTGCTGCAATATCCTTGACGTATTTCAAGTAAAATATTTTTAAAGAATATGATAAAAATTTATCATTGTAGCAAATTCTCAACTTCTCTTTTTTTGCATATTTTTTGTCAAATCTCAAATATTCTATATATTTATTTCGTTAAAACTTTATGTTATTAACTAGAAAACAAAGTTTTGTATTCTTTGACTATAATTCCAAACTACTATTTCGAAAAATCTCTTTACTGCAGTTTTAGCATTTGAGACTGCAGAAATACATTAAATATATTCTTTTTGTAGAATTTTTTTGATTCGGCAACGTACATTTAGCATCCAAGGGTATTGCAATTTTCCACACTTTATTTTGCTTTTTGTTTTGTAAATTCGTTCTAAATTCGTTATAATGGCATGCCAAGAAATGACAAATGTCTCGTTATAACAGCCCACTGTGAGATATCGTTTATCATGTGTGTTTTCCCAATGAATATCCATTCCGATCGTGAAATAGTAGAATTGGAAGAAAAGAGGTCACAGGTAATACGGAGGAAGTTCCTATTAAACTAATCATTACCAAGATAGTTATAAATAACGAATAGAATGGTCGTGACCAATTGGTCAAGCTGGTCAAGCAATTTCGGGCACACGGATGCTAACGGACCTGAACAGATTTCCTTTCCTTGCTTTTTAACGAATACATCCTTTTGTTCTGCATGAATACCAGAACGACCGATTCTACGAGGACTTGTATCCTATATCTAGACGAATGCCCTTTCTTCTACCGCCGCGCTACGAAACGACCTTTTTACCATCCCAATTCCGGATTTAACTTTCCCCGAATAGAGGAAAGAAATACCAACCTTGGTCACCTTGGTGTCTCGGATAAACTTGGCAGCCCACTTTTAATACAGTATCAATTAAATATCGAGGATAAAAGATTATCGAAGGATCGATTAACGGGAATTTGCATTTCGAGAGCCACCGGTAACTTTGCTCCCTCCTTTCTGAGCGCGCGGTATATCGCGAGGAAGTGCTTTTCTCCTTAATGAAGCCGTTAGTTGAATAGTTGTGCTTAAGATGCAGCATGAGGAGAAAAGTAAAACGCCTGAGTCTGAAAAGCCGAGACGGTGCTAAAATGTGTGCTATCGTCCGAAGAATGCGGCTTTAGCGTCCGCTTTTTCCTCGACTTCGCTAATCAACGAAACCGCGCGTGAACGTTGTCGGATTCTTTCGCTTCCGCATTCTTGC